GCTGTTGCTTGTGATACAGAGGCAGTAGTGCTGGAGGGGGGCAGTTAGCTGGGCAGGAACCAGTCCATGTTGGGAGTTGGCTTGAAAGCCGGCTCCCTGTGGGTATCTGCTCCCACCTGCTGCCTCCTGTGCTGCTTCCTCTGTAGGAGGCAGCAGCAAGGGACGGGGATGGTGGCTCCCTACACACACACCAGCTCTTGTGACCCCTCCTCTGATGCCTCTGCCTTCTGTGGAGCCACCCTCCTGCTCCACACACTACTGCCTCCCACAGAGGTAGCCGTGTGTGTGGAGGCAGGTGGGATACAGAGTCAGCGAGGGGAGGGGTGCGTATAACTGTGAGGGTTAACTGATGAGCCCCGGGTACATGTTAACATCCCTTTTGTGAAGTACTTTTGCGGAGTCCTTTGAGGCACAGATGCTATAAACCCTAAATAATGCTTATTGTTTGAACAGGATGCAAGGAAGTGTATGTCTGAGAGTTAGTGTATATGAAACTTGTAACTTGTAGTTTTAATAGTGCACATTGTTATTGCATAACACGTGTGTATGTGCATTGCCACATATTCTTTCTGAGGGGGTCAGTATGTATTATGGAGTTCTACAATATTTGTGGTAATTACATCAGTAACTTTATCTTTTTTCTATAGCATGCAGATTGTACAAGAAGAAATGATGAACTGATTGCCTATTTCCAGACAGGATCAAAATGACACATACCTCTCAAGGATCTTACTTTACCCATGCCCTTTCAAAGCCTTTAATAATCCTTCGCAGAGCTATTCCTCATCCTGGTCTTCAGATTTTCCCTATGCTGAGCTGTCTACATTTGTATTCTAGATTCGCTGTCTTGGGGATTGCTCTTATACCCATGTCTTCAACTGAGTGCTCAGTTTTGTTACCTAGCCTCTGCACTGTCTGTGGGAGGTGAAAGAGGCAAAGTTTCATTTTTTTTCCCCAGGGAAACAACTGTGCACCAGTGATTGTCTCCAATCACAGAAACGAAATCCAAGTATGGTAGGAAAATATTTGGCATAGGAAAGAAAAATAGAAATTAATTTTAATGTAAATTAATAGAATAAAGAATCCAAAACTGATAGGGTAAATCTTGTGGTGGCAGTCTATTGACTAAACACAATTAAAAGCCTTCTGTCAACAATGCTTGTATGCTTAGGCTCCTACAGCTTGTTGAATCATTTAATTCAAACATCCTTTTTGTAGATAAGAATCTCTCTAATGGTCATCGCACTCTTAGAAATAATGCTTGAATGCTTGGTTCTTTCCTAGTTGTGTACTTGTCGTCTTCCCCACAATTCCATGGCTTGTACAGAGTTTATATATTAGATCAGTTTGTCGTAATTAATCATTGTGCAACATGGGACTACAGGTAACCACTCTGTCCTCTGATTGCTTTCTTCATGTAGCATTTCCCCCCCCCCTTTATCAGTCTTCAAAGATTTTAGCACCCCAGACATAAAGATTGGCAGACGGACGTTACCATAGGGCAGGGGTTGGCAATGTTTTCAAACCAAAGAGACAAACTACATCAATATTGAGAACAAGTGGTCGTCAAAGAGCCAGTATAAGAGTGCCCATTTTCATGACTGAAAATATACAACTTAATATTACTAATAATTGATATAATGATAACAATAGCATACATTAAATATTGTACTCAGTGACTTTATTTAATGGGACTTCTGCTACTGCATCTTTTTCCACATTTCTTTGAAATTTATATCACAACTGGTCAAATTCAGCTTCATGCACACATGCAGGCGGTGTCTTGTCAGTCGTGAGTGCAAATTACCGTTGCTGTGATTCAAATGAGAGATCGTGCTCACACACATAGGTGGAGTCAAACATTGAAAGTAAGGTAAAGCTGACATTCTGCATAGTGGTGTACGTGACTGATTTCTTTCTAAGTTTGCAGAATCAGATTATCATTGTGCTCCAATTTCTTCATGTCAGCCCATTGATGCAGTTTTGCCAGCTCTACATGTTGTTGAGCAAGGCATTCTAAATCAGAAATCAGCTTGATGAATTTTTCCACCCAGATATCAAACTCCTTGAAATCTGCTATTTCTATTTCCAAATCACTGACCAAGATGCCTTGAATGACTGTTAAATCCTGTTCTTCAACAGACACTTTATGTGGATGAATCCTAAACTTAAACAGAGCACTGTATTTGCAAAAGTGAACAAAACGAGACTTGAATGCCATTAGGAGCTCAGAAACAAACCCAGCAAGCTGCTGCAAATCAAGGCTGTTACTTGGATTCTCTCTCTGATGCAAATCACAAAACATTCATAGTCTTTCAAAATGTGCCAGTCTCCCTCTCTCAACATCTTCAATGAAGACAGTCAATTTTTACTCATATCCAAGCACTGCCTGCTGCAGCCTCAAGACTGTATTTCCTTGCTCTTGAGCTTAAAGTTCGATTCATTCAAATGACCAGTAATGTTGATTAGATAATAAAAACTTCAGCAACCATAGCCTGAAACCTTGGTGTGTTTTGACATCATTCACATAAAAAATGACTTAATCTCATTAATACAGGCAGCGTAACAACACAAAACTTTGTCATGAGATAATCAGCAAACACTGTGCATTAATAGATGGGAATATTGGGAATCTACTTCCTCAAGCAGTGACTGAAATTGATGGTGATTAAGGCAAGAATCCAATTGACAATGCAAATGATCAGTCCCATTACATTTCCAAGTTCGGTTCCACAAAGTGCATTGAAAGTTCAAAAGTGGGCAGTTCAGCTGTTTTGACGAGTAAGGAATCCCCTGTATTTGCTGACCATGCTAGGTGTACTGTTTGTACACATAGACACAATATTATCCAACTGTATTTCTTTCTCATTTACAAAGTTGATCACAATTTTAAGGATATTCCCACCCCTTCTTATTTTTTTTTTTTTTGCATTGGTATATCTCAATCATTTCTTCATGCACACGTTTCCACAAAATATATCATCCCAGAATGCACAACTGATTAATGTCACATATGTTGGTCTGTCTTGTCCAAAGCAAACAAAAAATAAGTAGCTGTACTCAAATTTTACATTTGTTCCTTGTCAATTTGATGGGCCATTTTCATAGCTCTGTCCTTCTTTTTTTTTTTTTTTTCCCTGCTAATGGCATGTGTTGAGTTTTCTGTAAGATTTTGTTCTTGTTGTGAAACTTGTCAATTAGTTCATGATCAGTTTTTAGCATGTCTCTTCATGTAATCCCTGTCAGTGAAAGTGTAACCTCTTGAATAATGCTGTATAAGCCCACAAAACTTGCAGAGTTTAAACTCCATACCTTTTATTGACCATGCCAGCAGTCTATTTTCCCCAGTGTTCATTTTTCACTGCAGCTCCTTGCATGTGTTTTTTTTTCGTGAACCACCCTCAGGGTATTTTTTTAGCAAATGCTGCATGTTCTGTCATGAAATTTATTTTTTTTCATTTGAGAACATTCTTTAATTACAAATGAACCAGTGTGGAAATCCAGACCTTTTCACAAATGTATACAAGTCTGTCCATTCCTTTTGAAATATTTTAGTACTCGTCATCTCTCTCTTCCTCTTTGCCATTTTTGGGGGTTACAGAGTTCACCATCACGTATGATGATGAAAAGATTTGTTGACCAATCAGATATAAAGAGAATATTCACGATTCTCTTTGAGTGGAGAGGATGAATGGTTGTTAAAATAAACATTTTGTATATTTTGTGAAAGACAAAAAAATCAACTTGACATGAGTAATTATGCATTTTTAAAATTCTGAATTAATTTTTCATTTTAATTTAAAAAGTTGTGTGTATCTTGGGAGAGACAAAAGAGCCATATTTGGCTCTAAAGTCATAGGTCACAGACCCCTGTCATAGAGTGTTCCTGGCCTGTATTTCCCCCTCCTCCAGCTGACTGAACATGGTGCTGCAGGAGCTCCTTGCCTCACTTTCCCCTCACCTGGATTTTCTCATTTTCCCAGGGAGTCACATGGCTCTGACCCAGCCATGAGTTCAATATTGTCCTGAGATGATAAAAATCCAAACAGTGTGCAGGGGTATGTGGAGAGGAGTGTAAGAGGGAGGGGAGAAAAGTAACCAGATGTGAGAGGAAAGGAATTTTAAGAAAGAGGGATGGGAACAGAAAATCTGTGGCTTTTGTGTCTGCGTCCTGCTAAGATGTGTCAGAAATGGATGGTATTCCTTTAATAAGTTGATACCACACAGTACAATGTAACCTTTGGACTCAGAGGTGGTGTTATCGATGTAACTGGGAAAAACAGCAGACTGGAAACAATATCTGCTAAAGAGATGTAAAAACAGTTTGTGTTTCAGCTCCAACTAATCCTGAGAATAAAATGTTTACACAGTGTGTTACATAAGTCACTCCTAGTCCTTCTGACTGGCATGAGATAGCTAAAAGATTAAATATATCAAATTGCTCTTAACATTGGTGGAGTATGAAAATGTGAAGAGAATCTTTATTTCAAGTTAAGAGTGCATGGGGACTTTCATCCTCTTGTCCTTGGAGGCCTACTTTTTAGGGTTGATGTACATGAGAGAGTTTGTAACGTCCATAATCAGACATGACAAATAGAAAAGCATATGATTTGCTCTCAGCTACAATATTGGATGATTGTTTAACATTCTGATATTGTAACTTAGAACAGAATTTTGACTAGTTAATATATCCAGTACGTTCCTGAAGGAAGGAAATAGTTCTGTGCAAAGCAACAGCAGTTTTGTGTCAGTAATAGTCAAATGCTATCAATAAAAGCAGCAGAAACTGGCTAGGAAATTGAAAAAAATTTTGAACAAGATATTTGCCATGCTTTGTAATTGTCTTTAAAATAGGATTTAAAAATTGCGGTGGAACTCTACTTCTGAAGTGATTTATTTCTGTATTGCTGAAACCTATTGAAAGATATAATATGACACATTTCTCTACAATTAAATTTAAATAACATTCAAGTTGCTAAAGGATTTTGTTTGCCTTGCAGACCTTTCGGCAGCCCAAAGAAAGTTTGCCCACTCTCTGAGGGATTTTAAATTTGAATTCATTGGTGACGCAGAGACAGATGACGAAAGATGTATAGGTATGTATAGGTGTATAGGTATGTGTGCATTACTGATTTTTGTTGTGCAGTCTTATTCCATTTTTTCTTTTCATGTTACAGATGCATCCCTGTGCGAGTTCTCAAATTTCTTAAAAAATCTGGAAGAGCAAAGAGAAATCTTGGTGAGTGCAACAATCTTTTATTGCAAACCAATTGTAAGAAGGCTTAATTTATGAACCAGCCAGCATAATTTGCCATGATATTAATCAGCAAAATGTTAGCATAATTGATTTATTATTGCACAATCTTTTTCACTACTCTGGATTTACAAGTAGCAGCTGCTTCTCACTAAGGAAAAAGCCTTTCATATTGAAGGCTGTAACAATACATTGGCTCAGAATTGTAGTAACAGTTTAAGTCAAAAAACATACAGTATATTGGTATAACATTAGGTTTGCATATTATACTGAGAACCAAAAAATGCAAAACGTGTGAAACAACCATTAACAGTACATTGGTTGGATCATCAGCAGGGATTTAAGCAGGACTGCTGTAGCTCCAAAACACAATCCTTACCCATTTTACTCAAAGCACCTGTGTGTGTGGGAGGGGAGGAGGGGGTGTTGGTGGTGGTCTTTTTTTTTTTTTTTTTTTTTTTTTTAAGTTGGAAGCAGTAGCAGTCTCAAATGAGCCAGGTACTGGAACATGACAAAGACCTACATGTGGGTTAGACAGAGAAACATGAAATTAGCCCCTAATTGGTGTATGGAGTGCTTTCTACTTCTGTCTTCCTTCTGTGTAACTTAATATATTCTGGATCATAACATTTACCCCAGTCTGTGACTGATAGCTAGGTCTTCATCTCTGAGAGAGCCAAATATGGCTCAACATAGACTGCAAATTCTGAGGCTAAGCTATTCTACTTAATCCTGCCTGCCAGATGCTCTGCATTCATCATTGGAACAAATTCAGCAGTTTAGTTCTCTCCTGCTTTTCTTTCCAGTTTTAATGTCTTCATTTTGTTTCTGGCTGTAGAAGCCTGGGACAGACATGGTTTCTCAGGGGTGGAAAAATGTGAAATTCTGCCATGCTGGCCTGGTTTGGAGCCACATCTCTTGAAAGAGTTTGAATCAGTGGGCGGTGAGCAGGTAGTTCTTAGTGTAAATTGACCAGGGATGCTGCATTCTGTATTGAACATGTTTTGTGGTGGAGAGATTGCATGACATGGAGCTGCTAAGTCGAAGGTCCTATGATTAAAAAAATGCCTTGATATTCTGGTGTTCCTTGTGCACAGACGTAATGGGTACGTCTACACTGGCCCCTTTTCCGAAAGGGGCATGCTAATTTTACAGGTCGTAATAGGGAAATCCGCGGGGGATTTAAATATCCCCTGTGGCATTTAAATAAAAATGTCTGCCGCTTTTTTCCGGCTTTTAGAAAAGCCGGAAAAGAGCGTCAACACTGGCCCCGATCCTCTGGAAAAAAGCCCTTTTCCGGAGGATCTCTTATTCCTACTTCAAAGTCACAGCATCCTACTTCAAAGTAGGAATAAGAGATCCTCCGGAAAAGGGCTTTTTTCCAGAGGATCGGGGCCAGTGTTGACGCTCTTTTCCGGCTTTTCTAAAAGCTGGAAAAAAGTGGCGGACATTTTTATTTAAATACCGCGGGGGATATTTAAATCCCCCGCGGATTTCCCTATTACGACCTGTAAAATTAGCATGCCCCTTTCGGAAAAGGGGCCAGTGTAGATGTAGCCAATGAGAAGAAAAGGAAGAAGCCATGGTACCATCTAAAGAAAAGGACAAATTAAAAACAACTGTGAAAATACAGAGAAGAATGAGAGCTGAATAACCAAATTTGTTCCACAATTGGAGGCAGAATTTATGGGGAGTAGAAACCAGGAGATTAGCTTGCTCTTTGTCTTCAGTTGATGAACTCACATCTATTCCATTGTAGTTGTGCTATGAAGCAGGATGTTGGGATTGGTTTTGAGCACATCTTTAAGGAAAATGTAACGGTAAAGGTGTCTTCCTTGCTTATCAAATAAGGTTATTGGAATGTTTTTTGGCTATGCAGGTTTAATACATCTGCTTAATACAATAGATGATTAAAATGAGGTTTTGTACTGCAAAATTAAAATTCCATCTCGTGTGGGGTGGGATGATTGAGAGATCTATGATGACCTTTCAGCTACCTGCACACACGGGAGTATGGCACTCAAAGGCAAGAGATGAACAGCATATGAACATGGTAAGAATGGGACTCCATCACAGGGAGATTAATGCTAATTTTGCCTCACAGAATTTGAGATTTTATGCTCACTAATTTTTAAAAGTTATAGTAAAAGGTGCTTTAGAAAAAATATAGAGATTTCACTTGAAATGCCAGGCATCCCCGCTCAATAATTTTGTTTCTGAAGTTCAGTACACATTAGTAATTGTCCTTTACCTAAATGATAATTAAAATGTCAAAACTAAAAACTAATTATTTGCCATTAGTTACCGTACATGTGATGTGTGTTTTCTACTGCTGGTCTCTCGGTCTGTAACTTTAAATTGTAACATCATAATGGCATCTACTTTTTAACTCTACATCTGGTAACTAATTCCAGACATTATTTTATTGCTTATGAAATTTATGACAGGTAATTTGTTTCACTATTACTTATTTTAATGCGAGGAATATGGTGTTTTAAAGATTCATTTCTCTTAAGGTAGACTGTAATTTAGCTTTTTTTCAATAGGTTTAATTTTCTTTCCACCTGAAATCACATATGTGATGACCAAAGTACTTGCAGGAATTAGATGGATTTATGTGACAGATTTGCATTGATTTATTTAGCTTTGATCACAAATGTGGAATCTAATATATGGATTTCTTATCTTTGGAGCAGCATTGTTCTTCATCTCCAGTACGGTATTAATTTCTAGAAATTCTGTGTAGAAATTCTGTGTTTCAGGTGCTTATTTGCCAGCATCAATCATAATTAACAGACAAATTGGGAGCTGTTGAGGAATGTGTTGGAGGTAGGAGCAGGGAGAAATCCCAGCTGCACATGGCTGGTATGAATGGAAACATTTTGCTTGCATAAATTAGGGATGCAAAATCCTGTTTAATTGGTTAACTGGTTAACATATTATTTAACTGGCTAATCAACTAAAGGGGTGGTGAGTGGGCTGGAGAGGTCTCTCCCCCCTTCCCCCCTCCCCCACCACCATGAAAAGGGGCTGCTCTGGACAGTCACAGCATCCAGGCCAGGTTCTCTGTAGGCAGGGGCTGTTCCTGCTGTGGGCCCTGCAGGGCTGATCCAGCCCCCACCAGTTAACCATTCACATCTCTAGTGTAAATCTGTGAAGCCAGCTGGGGCATTGGGAACCCAATGAGCATCAGTTCTTCTTGCACATTTGTCTCGTTAATGTGCAGGAGTTGGATTCATAACTACACCCATGCGCACTCAGCCTTTCCTCTTACACGTTGAATATCATGTGGAGAACTTTCTAACCAATGGTGTTACACGGATAGTAGATATCACAAAGTTCTGTGCTATAAGAGTGTTTTGCTCTGGTCAAGGTTGTAAAAAATAGCACCCATATAGCTGTTTTCTTCCACCTCTATGGCTTTGTATTAGTAGAGATGTATGTATATAGCTATTACAATTATTTGGTATACTTCAGGATGATAAATACTAAGTAAGATTTAAAATTATTATTTCAAATTTTAATTTTAATTATTCAGGCTGTATCATAGGATATTCCAGTACCAAATGCAGCACTGAAAATGGGGGAATTTTGTGGCACATTTCACAGATTTCCTCAGCAGCTCTCTAGCAGTGATAACGTAGCAAAATGCAACTCAGGATTCAAAGAATCTACTGTGGGCTATATAATCTCTGGACATTGCAATTGTGCTGTGACCATGGTACAGGCAGTCCCCGGGTTACGTACAAGATAGGGACTATAGGTTTGTTCTTAAGTTGAATTTGTATGCAAGTCGGAACTGGCTCCAGATTCAGCTGCTGCCACTGAAACTGACCAAGGGCTGACTACAGGAAGCCAGAGGCAGAGTTGCTCTGCCCCCAGCTTCCTGGAATCAGCCTGATCAGTTTCAACAGCTGCTGAATCTGGAGCCTGGGACAGAACAGCTGGGGCGCTGCCCGGTAGGTTCCCACAGGACCACCCCGGCAGCCCCCCAGCTGCTCTACCCGAGGTGTCCCGCAACAAAAGCCTGGTCTGCTGGGGGGGGGGAGGGAGCGCAGCTAGTGCGCCCCCCCCCCCAGCAGACCAGGGAGACCCGAGCAAAGCCGCACAGGTGGAGGGACCCCGCCGCCCGTGTGGCTTTGCTCCTTTGCCCCTGAGCAAAGCCGCTGGACCCCCCCAGCAGACCAGGGAGACCCGAGCAAAGCCGCACAGGTGGAGGGACCCCGCCGCCCGTGTGGCTTTGCTCCTTTGCCCCTGAGCAAAGCCGCTGGACCCCCCCCAACAGACCAGGGAGACCGGGGCGAGAAAAGCCCCGTTCATAAGTGCGGATCTGACATAAGTCGGATCCGCGTAAGTCGGGGACTGCCTGTATTCCACTTTATTATATGCAGCCTGTTTGCAGGTAAGGAGGTAATATGACACTACACATGTACCAGGTGCTGGTTGCCTTATAGAAAACACTTAACTGAAATGGAAAAGATCATAAAATACACGTGTTCAAATGTGAAGGAGCTGATGACAAAATTCCTCAGGGAGTGAATAATTTCAAATGGAGACTGAATACTTCTGCTGAGATGTGGTTTCTTTCATGAGCAATGATATACTCTAGTAAATATTTTAGAACTGAATCACCATTAAAGTGGGCAGGTGGAAAAAGAACAACGGGATTAGTATCTAGGAAAAAAAAATTGTGTGGTGTTAGGGAGAAATGGACTGCTGATCTGACTACTTTTCTTTGGCTCTTCAGTGAACAGTGTAATGATGCCAAAGTTCCATAGATATTCTCTTGAAATCAGTGGAATGTTAGGACGTGATGCACCCACACCATTTGGCACCAGACCAGGGCTATAAAGATTTTCAGTTGTGGTGCAATGTTTATACTACAGTTTTTAAAGCCTTTCACAAAGGACTTCTTGCCATACCAGCATCCCCTTATCAGGCATTTATTTTTCTTTGCTATCCCAAAAGGCAGTGTGGAGGCTTGT